AATAATTAATTATTAAACAATTAACTTTTTCTTTGTGAATATAATAAATCTTCTTTCACTGTGGATGTAACAATTTATTTATGAATGTAATAATCTATGTAACCCTAATGTAATATTGAACACAATCGAGTACCAATATACTTGTTGATGTTGCATTTATATTTTTTCATTTATATGAAAAATTGTTATAATAGAAATATCCATATATTATAGAATAATCAATACAAATTTTTATGAGTAAAATTAAGAAATCATGATATATACTAAACGTTAACTTCTCGACATACAAATGACGTTCGAAAGACATCATTCATTTCGTATGTTATTTTAAACATTGATTTGTCATTTTAAATTGTACGCATTGGCACTAGCATTATAAAAATATTAAGTTATTTAATAATTTCTTAACTATTCACTGATGTTATGAGACTGAATGATTTTCGTAAGCAAATCAAATCTTAGATAATATATGGTAACAGAAATGGACTTTAATTGACGTATAAAGTTAGACTAGATTACCAAACTACATCAGACTGTACATTATTCTACACTGTTCTCCACTTTGTCAGCTGTTCTATACTGTTCGCTATTCTACACCACATTGTTCTCTCCGTGATATTCAAATCCACAGTTTTGCCAATTTTTTCTCAACAGTCATCTCTCTTTCTCATACTCTTAAAATTATACATTTCTAAGACAGGGCAGATATATGATTATACATAATGTGTTCGAATACGTTGGTCATAAACTACTCTTAGTCTACGTTGGTTTTTTCGCCTACAAATGCATTAGAACTTGTCGAAATACAAATAATTTCTAATTAACGTATAAAATAATTTATATAATGTAATAATATTCTCCTATAATACAATTCAAGTTCGAATTAGTGGATTCAACCAGCAATCATTCATGTAAAACCAATTATTGACTGAAAATTTAACTCAAATAAATGTTCGTATAAACGGAGTTCGATTTCTTGAACAGGTTACGAGTGAAGCTTGAACAGTTCACTAGCGAGTGATCTGCGATATTTCTCGGGGAAGTGACTTGCAGAGATGTTATGTACACTTGTCCGCAAATATTGCGGCAGCTCACTCTCTGGAATAAGTTGTGAGAGCGATCTCTCAACTTCTTGCTCAATAAATGTCGGGGATGTCTATATCACGTGGCGCGCTTACGCAAGAGGATCAAGGATCGAGCCATTAGAGTCCTTCAAACGAATAAAACTCGTGAATCCGAGATCCGTTTGTGAAGGAAAATCGGGAACGCGGAGCATTCCAGAAAAAGCAATTGCGTCAGAGGTTCAATTGCCTTTTCCTTTCAACTTTTAAGTAACTTCAAGTTGAGCTATATTCAATACTGCTTTTAGCACATATCGAGTTTCATTTTCTCCGTGTGTTAAGAAATTAGCATGATGATTAAAATTGCACGATAAACCGGTACCATCTACATAATAACTGACCACATGTAATTTATCAAGTTGTAATTTATCTCAACTGAAATAGTCATTATTCTCTATTAATACTAGAGAGGATAATGCGCGTGTAGTATGTCCGTTTTAAGTATTTATTTTATATTTAATATATATATATATATATATATATATTTAATTTTCTCGTAAGACACTTTCTTATTTAGATAACTTTCTCACTTTCTCGTAAAATGTATGAATTAAAGCTTATGTTTTTTCTGGTATTATGAACGTTTCTCTACTCCGTGTAGTTTATTTTCGCTTATTCATTTTTTACACCTTATTCGCCGAGTAAAATTCTCACTGACTCACTGTTCGCGAATTATTTGCTGAATGTTCCGTCTCGTGATGCAAATGGGTTAAAATACTTAACAAAGCATGCGGGGCGAGCGTTCTTGATAAAAACAAACCGAGCCACCGCTACGAAGCATTAACGCAATTTAACAGTTCCGAACGTAACATCTGGGCAAATTCGTCGTAAATCGTATAAGTAACATCGTAAGACCAAATTACGCGATTCACGCGAATTTTCTGAGATTGAGGCATAATTGGAAACCAACCAGAAAAACTTGAGGAAACAAAAATTTCAGTTTCAAGAATGCAAATCTGATTTTATTAGATGATCTGTAATTAAAATGTGTGTTGGATCAGAATTTTTCTAAATGTCATACTATGAGAGTTACATGTAAGACATGTAAGACAAATTCAAGAATATCCTACAATACGAATTACTTTTTTCTAGAATCTTATTCGTTCGTTGTGGAATAAATAGGTATAAGTGTAACATAAACATACATATTTGAAATAATTTATTAAACTAAATGTAGAAAAAATTGTCAACAATTTGTACTTTTCATTGTCTTTCTCAATTTCTATTTACTACTATTGTATCTTGATTTGCTAATTTACCAATTGCACATCATTATTATTATAAATATTAAAACGACAGAGAATCTCCACAGAAAATTTCCACGAAGTGTCAGCTTCGTACAACTGAATAGAAGCAAAATATACATGTTGGATACAAGTGACAAATAGTCGATGACAGATCGTCGGCTTCGGATCGGTAAACGATCGATCGTAGCGTTAATGCGTCGAGCTAAAGGCAGCTTAAGGGAGAAGTAGAAACAGCGTTCGTCGCCACCTCGTCCTCGAATAGAATCCATTACGCCGTACATTTCACCAACTAGTTTCTGCCGATCTCGAAGAAAGCGCGAACGTGCGATATTGGCATAGTAGCGAGAAGTTGGGCTTCTGTGCGGTCGAACAGTGCAAGTTGGACGGACGTGCGTAATCACGTAACCACGTGCCGCCGTTTCGTACAGCCAGCTCTCATTGGTAATGTCTTCGTAATCTAATAACAGCGAGGATCGAGCGTCCGTACCCGTGGATAGATGACATGCACAAACTAGCAAAGCAAATTGGAACTGCAGCGAGTTCGTGGCTGACATCCAGTACAAAGGCCACTCTCTCTCTCTCTCTCTCTCTCTCTCTCTCTCTCTGGTGACCCAACATTCCGTCTTGTATCCGATCTCTATTCTCCGGAGTATCCGAGGCAATCGCTTCGGAAGTAAAACGGCGGCGTTCGTCCGATTGACTTGCCTATGACAGCCAGACAAGACCTTGAAAGATCCAACTTCCGATGGAGCAACTTCCTTGCAATACGATAACTCGATTGGAACCGATTTGCATAAATTTCACCAGTTCTCTCTTTCTATCGTACGTGTTGCCGCTACGAAATTCCGTAGAACTCGTTATGATCTGTAACACGTAATCAGGGAGAGGAGGAAGGAGGAGGAGCAGGAGGAGGAGGATTGAATTCGCGAAAAGGGAATCGAATCTGCGATTTCATTTCATCTTGATTCTTCAGGGATTCTTCTTTGTGATGATTTCAACTTTTTTTTTTTGATCATTTTCGTAGATTTAAATCGTATAAATAATAGTTAAATATTAACTGGTGCAATATTCTTTTATATTCTTCATTTATATATGTACACCTTACATATTTATATTTCAATTTTAATATTTTTTGAAAAAGACTAATTTTAAACACGTATTAGTCTTCAATTACGCTTCAGAACGTCGTTCTCTCCTTTTGAAATTCAAATTAGCAATCAAGCAACAGACAAGTTGTATCTCGAATTTATAGAATGTAGAATGACAATTTGTACGTCGAAATAAAAATTTATTCATTGCCGAGATATCACGTATTCAGCGATATTCATCTGCAGTAAAATTTTATTCCTCTCTCGGTTCTTTTTGCCTAGGAACGAATTTTTTTAAATAATTTTTTAACCTTACACTGATTCGTCCCTCATCTTCTAACTGATAACTAGACTGCGTATTTTTACGCATTTGTGGAAAATCTGAAGGTGCAAAACTGCAACAAACAATGTAGAGTAAAGAATACATAAAATATCCAAACAATTGTATTAACTACAACAATATGTAGAGGAGACATTTAGATTTCTTCAATAATGTTGGTGAACATATAAAAGTGCACAAATATCTGCAATCTACTGGTAAGATTCAACACTTATACACAAACCCGTTCCTAAATTCAATTAAGTCCATCTTATTTTGCTAACAATTTAATTTCTGCTGTTATAACATTGCTACTTTCTTCTTCTCTAATTCTCACAGTCAATCGAACTATCTCTCTTAGCTTCATTCCTCCTTTTCCCATTCTTTCCAAGCTCCCTCTCAATTTCCCCATTAAATGGGATAAAATGAAACGTTAATTTGATACATTCGAAACCGTGTTTCTTTCCAATTGAAAGAGTATCCGCGCCTGGGACGGTTGGGAAGCAAGCTGAGAAACAAAATTACCATTTCCAGCCGGGAATCACGTACTCGCCCGATCGTTTATGGAATTATTTTGTGTCCGGGCATAAAATAAACGATCAGTTGAAATTGGTAAAGGATATTAGGGAGCATCGTGGCTACGGCAACTGACTGCTAATATGGTTACCATCTGCTTCGGCGAGTCTGTTGCATATTTGCATCGGCTGCAAGTAAGACAAGTGGAAATTGCGTTCGCGGTTCCCGAGCAAGCCAATTTATTTGTGCTACTTTCACCCTCGGAAACAATTGACGCTCCCTTATTTGCATGTAGATACACCTGATAGAAACATTATTCAGCAGGTGTGTTTCGAAGTTTTCCGGCTCGCGTTGACACGATTGTTTGCGCCGCGCACGATTCATCGATGCGATGAAAAGACCAAATCACAATCTCGTCAGAAAAATCGCGAATTCACCGCTCGGACCGAGAGGTGATCCCGAAACAATGAAAGAGGAGAGAGAGAGAGAGAGAATCACCCTTCGTGGTGATGGTGCCGACCGCGAGGCGCGCTACTGAGGCATTCTCGCGCAAGTTCCTTCCCACAAGTCTGACCGAAGTTTGAGAACGTTTGGCGGAAGAAAGGAAGTGGAAAATTTCAGTTCACGAAGAACCTGAATCGGAAACTTTCACATACGGGTGGAAAAAGGTTGCGGAATCGTCTTTGCACGGGACGATGGACAATAAGGGGCTTGTGGATGGGGATGATTGAACGGCAGGCAAGCGAAATTCGAAAGGAAATCAACGCGTAAATAGTCATTTGATGAACGAAGCCGTACCCTTCCTCGTTCGAGGGAAAACGCAAGAGAAACGAGCGTCTGCGCATTACCAGGACAGGCTGTCACGAGAACTCCTGTAGGAGACGAGGCTCGCAGAATTCCACGGAGCCAACAGTGCGCGAACCGCCAGCACGCGACGCGGTTGCTACGACGCGACACCTTCCGCGCTGAGATCGTCGCTACGGGTTCCCAACGAGAGTTTCTCATCGGAATACGCGCCGCTCTGTCACCCGGTTTTGCTCGTACACTCTTCATTTTCTCAAGAAGAAAATTCGAACAAAAATCAAAACACGTACGAACGACTCGCGCCACGATCTGGCAACTGGTTGTCAACCTTCGTCCTCTGTATAATTCTGCGTCGCATTATTCCCCATCCGACAATGTAAATTGTTTCATCGTTCTCGCGAATAGATCGCGAACAACACGGCAGGGACGATCGCTGTGTGTTTGGGAACGAGCGGGTTAACCAGATTATACGGCGCCTCGTTACGGATGAACAATTGGAATCATTGAAACGCAATCATGAGCTGTCGTCGTCGTTTCGCAGTGCGGCGTGAACAAACGGCGTGAAAACGTATTTACAAAGCGCTTCGCCGCGGTGAGCGACGAGAATTCGACGACGACGACGACGACGACGACGTGGAAACGAACGCGGCGGCGAGAAACAGAGACTGAACGGGGTATATTTTTCTAAAGCTCGATCGGACGCACGAGAACGGGAAACGTACGAGTATTTTCCAGGGGATGAAAGATATACTGAAAGAATGCCATTGAAACGATCGATTTACGGATCACGGTTCGAGTAAGGTTTTGGTGGAAAAGAGAATAAACGGACGTACATAGGTGTCTGTACCGAAAGCTGTGGGACGATTATCGTTTAAAAAGTGACACGTTTATAAAAAAAAGAAAAGAAATAGATATGTTCGAGAGTTAAAAAATTGGAACAAAGGGAGAAAGACACAGAGAGGTATTCGAAGAAATCGTCGGCGCCGATTTCTTCGGTATTCTGTCCAAGAAAAATGCGACGTTTGAAGCGATATTACGTGATTTTACGGTAATTCGTACTACTTCATCTCTTTTCGTCTGACCTGAATATCGTAAAAATATCGTCCCAACTTTCAACGATCCTTTTTTTTTACGAATATCGGGAGCCCATAGTTATTCGATTAAATCGAGCAAATTTCTCTGCAGTATCAACTTCATCTAAAAATTAAAAAAAAAAAAGGAAAAAAAAAGAAAAGTGTCTACCAAGTATCAACTTTCAGTAGTGGCAAATCGTTTGCGAAAATTTCTTCCGCATGCACAATCTCCGTTTATCTTCTTGGGAAAATATCTGTCTCAAGTTTGTTAGTTTGTTGTTGCGTAATTTTTGGAAAAAGAAAAGGATATTGACAAAGATCGGAGATGCTCTTTGAGATACCGCGGGCGAATTTCAGAAACTTGAAGCCCAGCCTCTCGTTTCGTGCGCCATTTCGAAAAATCTGGTTTCATCTTCTCCGACGACGAGGAAACAAGGTTTCTATCGCCAATTTTCCGAGCCTCCGTTTTTCCAGCGGCTGCGAAGCAACTCGCACGAAGTCGTGCGCGAATAATGGTCGTCGAACAAATAAACGAACCAAGCAGCGATCTCGGCGAAGCGAAGTAAACTTAATTGATCATAAATTCATTTATGAACGATCGTCATTTCGCGACGGCGAACGTTCGCCGAGACCTCGAGTTTTTAATCTTCGACGCGCACTGCTTCAAGCTTACGTCCCTGAAACTTTCTCCCCGTTGTCCATTGTCCAATTTCGCGGACGCTTGAACGAGGTTTCGTAGTTTTCGCCTCGCGATGAGCTGCCCTGACGAGTTTAAAAAGTAAAAAACGAGACTCGATCGAGATTCTTCGGGGGAAAGTGAAATTTCACGGCCCAAACGTAGTTTCGCTGATAAATCCGTGACGGATTAGGCAGCTGCTGGTGTGGTATATAATTTACGAGAAATCACCTGCGTCCGCCAACGTTTCACAACAACGGAGCGGGATTCTCATGGCGATAGCGCGGGAACTTCGGGTAAAAATTAATGAACTTTCCAGGAAAATTTGTTTGCCTTCCTCCTTCTCTGTCGTGTTTTCTTTTTTCCTTCTTTCCTCTTGTTTCGTTCCCATTCTTTCGAACTTTCGCTGTTCGAAATATATCTTGGCGTTCGGCGTTCGCGAGGTAGAATACGTTTATCTCGGAAAAATCGAGAAAAACTGTTCTGCGGTTCGCACCGCGCTGACCTTTCGACTCGGGGCGAGTGATCATTCGCGATTACTGTCAACTTACGTTTTTAACCCTCGGACGGCGGACGGTTTTATCGGCGTGCAGAGTAGAGTCATCATGGAACATTGCTTTTAACATATTTCCAATTATGGAACACACGAGTTGGAATGGTCATTATCAGGAATGTGAATTGATTTTGAAATTCACTAAAAGCGTATTTTATTGCACAAGAATTGTAAACAGCTGATATTATACGTAGCGAGTAGGAAAGTGAGGATATTTTTTTTTCTTTTTTTAGAGAATTGCAGAAATTCAAGCATCTCTAAAAACATTGAAAAATCATTTTCAGATTCACCATTATTTTGACGAGTGAGATCTCTTCTTTGCAAGGAGCCCTTAAAATTTGCTATACGATATTTTTCAGCGCTTCATTGAACTTCGTCGTTTAATTCTAAACGTTCAAAATTTAATAAAATCTCTTAAAGAGCAGATCTCAATCTTTAGGATCATGGTGGATTTAGACACGAAGAAAAGTTTTTTTTACTGTATTCAGAAACGTTTGAATTTTTATAATTTTCGAGAGAGAAAAATGTATCTTTATATTCTGCGATGATGTGAAATCATCTTTAGAAAAAATGAACGAACGAGATTATAAAAGTAAAGATCTTACGCTTAAAAATACGACTAAATGGAATACTGCATGATGTTTCTTCTTAGGAATTTACAATAGTTTAAATTGTCGAAAAGTTTTCGTCGTTATTGGTTCAGTGATGTACTACATCTATATATCATCTTCTTCGAACCTTGTAAATAAGTAAATTAATTATTTCAATCTCAAGTTATTTTTACTCTATTTTACTACAGACTAAACACTCAAAGGGTTGAAACGACATATGGGCAAGCATTGTTATATGCAAGTGGCTGTGGCTTTGCTTGTTAATTAAACAGGCTGTGCTTTGATCAAGTGCATTTTTCAAATTGTACAGTCGATAACTCTCTGGTGTAACTGTTTCATTCGGTTTCAGCAGCTCGTAGTGCATCGCATCTTTTTAATCCCTCCATATGCACATTCCACGCACATTCCGTTTCTGGTACGGTAATTGACTAGGATCTTTTGCGTATAGGATTATCTAGACGTACATATAATCCGATATAAAAACTCTTTTATATGTATATTAAAAACTCTTTATATGCATATTATGTACACTTTTAATGTTTCAAAGCTCTGAAAATTAATTTACGCTCCTAATGTTAATATTAACAACTACAATGAGTGTGAAAAGTAATCGTACACAGATGGAAAAATTGTCGGTATTTTAAACTTTTACATCTTTGTGAAAGAAAGAAAGAATCGTACAGCAAGTTTTAAGAGATCGTCGTAAAAGGGAGACTTCAATCTTCAAGATCACGATAGCTCCAGTTACGAAAAACATCCTTCAGTAGTCGATAAAGACGTTTAAATTAGCAAAGCGAGGGAAGAATGTATTTTGACTTGAAAGCGTAAAGCTTCTACTTTTACTTGAGCTCTTCAAAATATTGTTACGCCATTTGGAGGGAATAAATAAAAATACTTGTTACAAATACTTAACAGTTGTTATACGAGAAAAGTTATGCCGAGGATTGAAGTCCCTCCTTAAACAACGATCGCTTAAAATTTCCTCTACGTTCTTTCTTCAAAAAGTTGCAAGAGTTAGTTTAAAATATTTTTCGTTATGAACATTTTCTGTGCTCACTGTGTGTTACTTTCCTAAGGCCCTGTAAACATCGAATCGCACTCGTAGTACAGATTATGGTCTGGATTTGAAAAAAAAGACGAAATTTCAATCCGAATTTTAAATTTAATTTCCTTAACAATAATACGAGTGACAGTCACGTATAATGTTTCGACGCTTTGTATCTGAAATAATTTTTAAAACTATCCAAGAAGATTGGAAAGAAAATCGTGAGGCAACGGGTTCAAGGTTACAATTAATTATTCATTATTATTGGTAAAGATAGACACAACATCCATAGGCGATGATCAAGCCATCGTAGTTCGTTTCTTTTAAATTCTTGGTGCTCAGACATCGCTAACGCAGCGACGATATCGATATATCGCGTCTCGTGAAACCGTCGTAAAGGTACGTACACACATATATCGAACGCGAACGAAATGAATGTAGTATTGAATTCGAAAGTAGTAATCCTTGTTCCGATACCTCCAGGGAACGGCACATTCTGTTTCCAGATGCGCGAAAGCAATCATATGGGTCGTACGATCCATCAACGGTACGGATTTTTTGCTGTGAACTTATTTCTCCTAGAAATCCTATCCAAGACGCGCTACGTGACTACTTGATCTTTTTACACGGTTTTTCTTTACACGCTTCGGTTCGTCAAGGATCGTTGGGATCCTTGTAAAAAAAAAATCTCTTTCGCATATGCCCCGGCCAGATATCAATTCTCCGATCTCCGATTTTGTATGATCGATGATTGCGATAACGCTTGTTTAATGTGGTAATATAATCTTTGAGAGAGGAGGTTTCACTGTTTGAAAGGCGATAGTTTATATAATTTTTAAATAGTTTATACAGTTTTAAAGACGATAGTTACATAAAAATATAGACTGCAATTTTCTTTCTGTAATACTTCAAGAAAATACAAGTTTAACGAAGAACGTAGAAAAACTTAGAACTGCCAAAGCAGTCGAAACGATTAATTCGTAGTTTTTCACAAAAAATTTCGTAGAATTGCGACTGTGTATCTCTAAAAGTTCGAGTAACTTTTTGTAAGATACGCGACTAAGAGTTTACGTTCTTCATTGTATTGTCAACCTATTTCTATTTCTTGCACGTCAATTATAAGTTTCATACTTAGTTCTACTACTAATTTTTAAGTTCAACTTTCTCGGAAATGAAAGGACTTGTGAAAACATTTTTACAAGTTATCGGCCGGGTGAATTTCACGCGTGGAATAATCTCCTTTCAGATTAACGTACATTCCCACCCAGGTGTAAAATTATCCAAACTCGAGTTTCTCGAAAATGGCGTCTCGAATAAAAAGATTTTGTTCTTTCCTCTCGGCTTGTTTTCACGTGTAAAATTACCTACGGGTCGGTTGTGCCTCGATCACAGGGACAATTTGTCACTTGGGAACCTTTTGGCAACATGTTTCGTATACGTGCGCGAATATCGTCGATCCGTTCTCCCTTCATAACGCTACTATTAGTCTACGTCCTCTTTCTTTCGTCTGACCAAGCGCAAAGAAGCTCAAGTTTACGTGGTGTGGTAGGTCAGGGGGTCGAGAGGTCCATCCACCCTTACACTAGGCTTCGCAGCCTCCACTCTTCTATCAACCGGAGTGCCTATCGAAAGTACCACAGTGTTGTACTACGCTCGGTTCCGTTCTCTGCTCGAAATAAAACGGTGGGCGGGATTAGATATACACGATACCGAGAAAGACTCGAGGCGAACTTGTCGATATTCGGAGAACGTGATTTCTTAGAGCCGGCAACTAGATTTGCTAGAACCAAGCCGCCGATATTCATTTGCATTTCGTTGTTCGGGGAGGAAGAAGGCGAAGACGCGGAATGTTTGAAAGAGACGCGATGAAACGAAAGGTCCGTTAAATTTTTCTCCCCTCGTTGAAAGCGACGCTTCGTCTTTCAAAGGCGGAGTGAGTTAAAAGGAAGAAGTTTAAAAACGTTGCCGGCTGAGCGAATATTTCCACGAGACGATAAGAAAAAATTATTAGATCGTTGCAGGAGGAGTGATGGATTTCGCAAAAGTGTTACTCGAATTACTCAAAATTTCGTTCGACTGAACGTTGTTGGATTTATTAGATTTAAAGCATAGGAAGTGGATCACTTTAAAACTTCAATATCAACAAAGTAAAAATTACTTGAATAGAAAGCTACTCGTATGTGAAGTTTAGATTAGGAAATATAATCATAAACAATGAATCACGAAGTTGACAAGAATCGACTAACGATTTTGATTGATAATAATCATAAAACTGTTTAGAATGGACAAAATGTATCGAAACTTGATTAATCTTCAGTCAATTTAAATATCATATGTAATACATGTATTCGTTGTTTTCTAATAAACAGGGTTTATCTCGTAAAATGGAAATATCTTCTATAAAAAAAAAATGTTGTTGCAAAAACTGTTTGTTAATGGTATTTTGTGGGTAGGATGTGATGGAGAAGATTTCAAGTTCAATTCTTTTTAGACTGAATCGTGTAATTTCCTTTTTAATACTCTGGGCATATTTTCTCTTTAATTTTGTGAAACCTATCATATGAGATGATAGATGCGAACGATGTTTATGTTGTCCTTGTCTATCACGCGATAAGCTCTACAAAATTAAAGTGACAATTTTTTCGACGTAAATAGGTTGATACTTTTTTCTTAGAGAATGCTCAGATAAATTGATTGCTGCATTCTGATGTAAAATGTAAAATGTAAAATTATATTGAAAAAAAATCAACTTGACCTTCAAATCCCTTCTATCAAAATCTATCCATAAAAATACCATTAATGTTACATAATGTGCCCCTTTATAGCAAACTTTACATCAATAATAACATTTTTCTTATAACTTTAATTTCTCGCGAGATAAACAGAACACCCTCTATAAAAAATATTTTCAGCAAAATATTATTATTAATATTATTATATATTACAATTACGCATTCAATGCATCACCTTTTCGAAAATACGTATAGGCATTCATAGTTCTCGAACGTAATTGTGACAAGTCCGAAACAAGCGATTCATAACGTTAGAGAAAATGAGATTACGATATGAAATTGACTGATACGTGAGGATCCTCTACGCAAGTGAAATATAGAAATATCCGTCCGTTAATTGTCAACAAAAGCATTTGCAAATCTAACTTCATCATTTATTTTTTCATAGCGCATATGAGCTCTTTGAATTTGACGCTATACAAATGACGCTGACAAATTAGATCGAACGAATAAATAGGACAGATAAACTTATTACTAAAACTTGCGCCACGAATTTCACCATTTCATCTAGAATAAGTAGAAGGCTGAAATTGTCTCCGTTGATGGCGATTGCGAAACCCGTACGTACGTAGAGATGCACCTTACACGAACGACACGTCTATGCATAGAAATTTGAAACTCGATCGGCATTTTCATGCATAATAATAAAAAAAAGAAAAAAAAAGAAACAGTGAGAATACCGCGCAATAAAGCCTCAGCATCGGCCGTGGCAGCTTGAAAAGCCGTGTCCGAGGTGCGTAACAATGGTCCTCAGTCGTTAGAAAGTCAATTACGTTAAAACGTTTGTTGGCGTGCCAGCCAAGGGACTGCGCGTTCGCAAGTATAATACAACCTTACGTAACGCGTAAGGGAGGCGACTATACTAAATCCCATTGTTTAATCGCTGTCATGGTTTACGCGTGCGTAGCTCCTCGTCGCGAGGAAGGTCGCGAGCTTCTCTAAACGATACGATAAAAGGGCACTAGAGCTCATTAACATGGTCTATACAATTGTGTGTGCATGTGTTCCCGTTTCTGCGACGTATTAAGCAGATTGCGCGTTCCGATTTTTTATATCCGCGCGCGCGAGAGGAGAGAGAGAGAGAGTGAGATACATCTCGATGAAACCTACACACTACGTACTATATATTTAATGTTGTTGATGTTGACAGATGCTGGTAGTTAGCCGCGAATAGAGTCGCTGAAATTTATTAATCGTAATAAAGAGGAGGGAATATATACAATATACATCGAAATGGCGCACGATATCCGTGGCGATAAATTTGATTAAAAGGCAGAATAATCGTTAAAACATTATATTGGCCCGACACTGCTAATTACGCTTGTTAATACACCAGGTCGTCCTCGAAATAATATACACACGACGCAGTGTACGCCACATAATACACGCCCAAAAAAAAGTCTCGATTAGCAGACAACACTGAATAAACTGTAAATTCACGCGATTTAAAGGGACGTGTGCATATTTATGAGGCTATCACGCTGTTCTCCGCTGAGAGTCACGTGTGTCACGTTGATTTTCAGATGAGTAGAAGCCGGCAGGACGCCCTGGGTCGTCGAAACACCGACGGCGACTGATTATGACGCGCGTCCACGCGCGCCGCGATCTCTCTCGTCTCCTCCTGCCATTCTCATCCTCCGAGACCTTTCACCTCCCTTGCAACCTGATCCTTCTCCTTCTCGGCCTTGTCTCCGTTCGCGGCGTCCTACCGTGCAGCGAAAAGGCCAGACCACAGAGCCACGATCTCGCGTCGTTCCCTTACCTAGCCGCCGACACCGCGGAGAGAAAATATTCACGAAGAGTCGTCGACGATCACCGAGAATGGATGCAGCACGGTTTGAACGAGTACGAGATCTTCGGCTCGTCGGGCCAACCCGCTGGGTTCACGGTGGTTCACGACGATCGAGCCACGCGAAGGGATAGAATCAGCGCGTCGAAACGAGTTAACCACGTGTCGAGCAGGCTCGTCAAATTATTCGGCAAGGATGACGATCGTTCGCGACTGGCCACTATCACGCACGGCGAGTGGTCCCACAGACGCCACCGGAAGCGCAAGTTTCGCCGGGAGAATGACGCGCGATTGGCCAATATCAAGGAGCAAATCGTTGACACGGCGTCGACGAATCGCGACAGGAAGCACATCCAGATGAGAGCGAAGAGAAACTTCGGCCGAAAGCATAAGTTCGAGAGGAAAACGGGACCGAGTCTGGCAGAGTTGGAAGAATCGTTTCACGACTGCGAGGAACTCGCGGGAGTGGACGGCTCGAGGTCTGCGAGAAGAAATAGGTCTGATAAAATCGCGGATAATCCCGAAGCGAAAGGAAACAATGGGACGGAGAATCCAGTTCATTCGACGGAAGTGAATGGCGATCTGTCACCGGCCTCGAACGAGAGCATCGAGGAGCCATTTACGGGCTTCGAGGGCTCGCAGAAATTCCCTATAAAAGTCACGTACAAGCCGCCTGTAGCGCCTCAGGTTGAAAAGTTTGACAGAAGGCACTTCGGACCGCCTAAGGTGGACATTGTCGAAACAACGATCGCAGCGTATCCATCGACCATGTCGCCGGATCTTCCCAAAAGTCCTGGTCGGGACGTCCTTCATCGGCATCGCAAGGTCGACGAAAACACGGAGGAAGAACGAAGACAGGAAGCGGCGATCGAGGAGAACGAGAAGGCCGACGAGATCACGGACGATCGTTGGCTACCTGGCGCGTCGTCTGGCCGACGATCCTCCAATATAGCCGGCGGAAAGTCTTCTCCGGATGAGAAGCTCGTCTCCTCCGTGTCTCCGCCGACGTTGACGTCGACTGTCGATGACGAGAATTCGGTGAACGTATCACGCGTCAGTGAGGAAGACAGGGAGGAAATCGAAGAAGTCAGTGTCACAGTGTCGAACGTGAAATCATCCGAAAAGATAAACGTGACCGTCCTGGGTCTCTTCGAGATGACAAAAGGCTCCGAACCTAGACCCGAAGGACCCAGCGAGCTGCAGGCAGCCAGGCTGGCCGTCGAACGGGTCAACGAAATGAACATCCTGTCCAAGTTTCGACTGCGTCTTATTCACAATGACACCAAGGTGAGAAATTTCTATTCCATATCCATCTTTATTTTATAGAAGCGGAATGCACAATGCAACGATCGTACAGCCTGCATGATAAAATAAATCGAGAAGAAGAGTGACATGTTTTCATTCGTGACTCTATTTTCGAAGGAATGCAGATTGAAAGTCTGTCAAGCATATATCTGAATGTGATTAATTGCAGAATTGACAGGAATAGACAATCGAATGTTGTTATTCAGAGGTGCGAAGATAAGTGAAAAAAACGTAGGATAGAATTTTTTCATATTATTCATAATGCTTCCATTTTCTAGGAAGTTGAGAATTTATCAGGTACACGTGTAGGTTATTTTCTTTTTACAATGAGAGGTCTTAAATGGAAAGATTTGATATTCTTCTATTTATTTTTGCATGTAGAATAAGCTGCTATTTAGTTTAGAATTAATCAAATTTAAGTGTATTTATTTTAACATTATTTGTTACGAGAGTAAGCTTTAAGCGAAAAAATATCTTCTTTTCTACCTATTTTTTCAGTGTTTGTAGTGTAATTACTCCTGAAGATTACTCCTATATTTTCCGAGAATTCAATTAAGGAGTTCAGTGCAAAAGTTTTGTAGCTTCGCCACAAAATGTTGAGAAATGAAATCTTAATATTCTGGCATCTCTCTGGAGTCTAGTTATTATTCCATAATTCATAAGTATACGTGACAAAATTATGATTTTACATATATGTATATGTATATAATTATTTTCCATATGTGTCACAATAAACTTCATGCAAAAGAGAGATATGCCACATAGAATCATTGCTTAGAGTTTTTAATTGTTGCACAAACATTCGATTTTTTTTATAAAAGTTAAAGTTACTTATATTTATTGTATTTGTTAGAACGTTTGACAATTGCGCGCTTTCACTTTCGATATATTCATATAAAATTCATAACACCAATTCTTCTTATTAAATTTCATTTTTTCTTTCAACTTATGAAATTCACTCTCATACACTTTTTCATCATAGACACATAAATCCTACATTGTATAATTTAATTAATATATAAATGTAAATTTTTTTGAAATTGTGTTCTTTTTCATAGTCACAGATGCAAAGATGATTGTTATCTACAAGATTGTTCCTTCCGAGTTTGTAGCAAGTGTAAAATATATTTCGCGCGGTAAGCTACTCCTAAATAAAATACTTTCTATTGAAAGCAGTTTTCACGGAGCTTTTTTCTTAAATCCAATTTTCAAAATAATCAAGCGTACCAGGAAAAGTACTTTCTCGCATACGTTGCCCTCGTGTAAATAAGTTCAGATCAAAAAGTAGCAGTCTTAATTACGAAAATTCCTTGCTAAAGTCCTTAATATCTTACAACGCTACCATCGCTGCTGTAGCTCCTTGTTACATTGGATTTTTCAATTAGCTACAATTTATGTATTCGCGTGTTTCTCTTTGCGAACGAGAAACCACGAGGAGAAACAGAATTTCATGCCGTGGGCATGATATAATTCGCCGAGGAAGTTTCGTTATTTATACTCGACGGCGTTGCCTCTCGGAAGAACGAAACGGGCCCGTTCACGATTGCCGCGTGAAAAATGAACCGATGATCGAAAAGACGATGCCTCCGAACTACCACGACGAAGCTCGACAATTCTTCCTCCAAAGAAATAATATTATGTACATACATAAACATATGTTACACGCTGCTGAATCTCAAAGCTCTCGCGTTCCTATCAATTTCACGCTTCCTCCCCCACCCCCCACCACCCACCATCCCCCCTCACGACAGTATGTTTTCAACAAATTCATCGGGAACGCTGAACGTTTATGTGGGTCAGAATTTCACTTTTAGATTAACTTCCGTGTTAATTCGCAGATTACGTCCGTTTAAAATTTCGGTTCTAGCTTGTTTATTTCTAGGGCCGTGGCTCGCGCAAAGGGCGAATCCCCATCAAAAAAGAGAAGTCGTGACGAAAGAATGCGTATAAAATTGAAGCTCAACCGCGAGCTAGCGATCCTGGGTTTTTCTATTATTTTTTTTTCTTCTTTCTCTCTGTTTTTTTTTTTTTCTTTTTCTTTTTACCGGACCGCGTGCAACAACTGTCAAACTGTTTCCCGCGGCCATGAAGTTTCGTTCCCCTTGATTATGTTAACTGGCGTTTCCCGTAGGCGCGACAACGCGTTCCCGATAACAAGGACTGTATAACAAGGATCGTCGGTGCCTCGGTAGAAAAAGAAAAAAAAAAAATTGCGACCTCGCGGCGTGCAATTAAATCGACTCGAACTTTGTTTGATCGGTACAATGCGTGCTCGAATTTTACGCGGGAAAAGCCAGTCTGGAACGATGTTGCCTCTCGCGATAATGGACTCTCGCGCGAACTGTTTCCACCGTTCAATCGCGCGTCTTTGTCAGAGGTGAATCAATCGAACGAGAAGAAATAAAAAGTTAGAGAAACAGCAATTTATACAACACGACTGTCCCGATAACTTTTGTCCACCTTGAATATCTCCGTTGTTTTTAGAGACACAGCATAATGTGGCAATGATTGATTTTTTTTTTTTTTTTTTGTAAATAGAGGGTCTTTTGAGATTTCAAGATCACCTGTACGTTTTATAATGAAACGATATGTTTTTTCACTCATTAATCAACGTGACTCGAGAAAGTAACAACTCGTGTCGAGATTGTTAGTTTAAGAGATATTTTAATTTTAATTTTATAAAGTTTACGCGCGAAAAACAAGGACAATATCAACGCAAGAATATATACAATGAATATCATACGATAAATTTTACAGAATTAATATCTTCTAAACTAATAATTTTTCAATATACATGGTTTAATAGTTTTTGACTAACAAATTTATTGGGACACCCTATATAACATTCCTAGTGTATCATATAACGAAATATTTCACGAATAAGTGATCGCAAAACATTATACTGAAAAGAAAGAGAGAAATCAATTCAACAAGTAGAAAGTGATCGTCTTTTTATCGATGCGAATTAATCTTCCTTAAGTGTATTAATTATGAATAACCTGCGGATCTTTACGTAATTTTAATGTTATAACATAATAAGTATTCTGCATTAGATATTTTTTACAACGTGTCCTGAATTCTATTGTTCAAACCTGAATTCTATTGTGTTTGATATGGGTAAAAATAAAACTAAAATATCACTGCTTGGCATTGATAGTAGTAGTACAATGTGAAAAATGTGAATTTTGGAGCAAAGGCTTTTTGAAATGTTGATAGACTTATAAATATGCCGTTTTACATGATAAAGGCAGGAACGTAATGTAAATTTTGTATTCGCTGAAAGCAAATTTGGAAAATTCATAAATACATTGACAAAAGAAAATATCAACAAAAATATGAAATAACGATCAATATGGCCAAGTTTAATAATGGATCAGTCTTACACTCATCTTCACATCGCTGCTTATGACAAAAAATATTCGTTACCATTGAAAGCAAAAACTTAGGATGCAGAAGTATTTACATGAAAGTAATTGATCACGAAGAATCAAAATTCCAAAGATATTCAACGAAATCGATATACGATCAATTCAATAATACTTCGATATCAATTCTGTATTGATGAAGGTCTAAAACACTTTGAAATACATACATTAAGCGTGGACAACGTCACATACGTGGTTTTATATACGTCAGGTTTATATTTTCGTTGTAATTTTTTTAACGAAACATTTATGGACTTTTTGCCACGTGATGCTTGTGATTAGTTTTATTTTTCCCTATAAAACACACACTGGCAAACCTTGAACCAAATACGTGATATACGCTGTGTAGTTTCTTAACTGCACGCTGTAGTTTCCCAAAAATGCGTAAACATCCACCTGAACCGAATTCACATCAACAGACCATACCAGATCCATAGATCTTTGTTGCGCGGTGCGCAAAAAAAGGAAGGAATGCTCGTTCGTTCTCTATTTTGGCTAAATTTGTTTTTATGTTTACCCGTTCGTTAAACTCAGCGGTTTGATAAATGAGCACGAACCTATCAGGTTAGAGGGCAAACGAGCATTCGTTCGTTTGATGCAAACGCGTGTAGTAGCGTTTCGTGTGTAACGCGGTAAGATTGTCCCCGATTCTTTCGTACATTTCGTTCACACGGTACAAACAAACGTCTTTCAGGTTCGATTTTCAGGTCCGTTTTCTCTCTGAAACAAAGTCTCATTACACACGGAGCCGAAAGCGTCACGAGGCTTTCATGTGTCTTCGCTGAATTCAGCGGAGTGCGTCGTCGGACCGTTCTACGTTTTCCCCCGTTTCCCGTGTGCGTATGAATACGAGCGTCTCGATGAAAATGGGATTTGGAACGAGGAAATGGCCGTGGGCCATTTGTAATTTAACCAATCCCACGCTGGCAAAGTACTTGAAAGGTGCTCGTTTTCATCAAGAACCGGCAAAAAAAAAGAGAAAAAAAACGTCTGAATTCCCCTATGTGTGCTATTCTCCGCGGTTCCTTCCCGTTTTCTTCTCCCTTCCTCGCCATTTTTAATTTGCATTAAACAAACGCTTATCAACGAAACATCCTTGAAAATTCGCCCCCCGCTAATTTGTTTGCGTTTCTCGAGGATTTGCATGCGTCGCAACACGATAATAGAACACGTTGTCCTCGTTGTTTTTCTAACTGTTAACTAGAGTCACGTCGTCGGTGATGGACGAAATGGCTGAGATATTTCCCTCGTGCCGCGGGGAATAAGATTTTTGAATGAAACGACGAATGAGTTAATTATCCGGAGAAGGTGCTGGATGTTCATGAATTGTACGATTATGCTAATAAATGAAATAACGTACAAGCTCTTCATTTCTTTCTTCTTCTTTTTTCTTTTTTGGTGTGTTACTCCGCGAGTTACTTACACGTTGCAAAAGAATGAAAATACGCGTGAGAAGTTTTCAAAAAAACCTGTGGCTCCACTTTTCCGAAATTTATCGGCAACAATTCCTTCGCTGTCGAATCGACTACACAGCGGCTTTTTGAAATCTCGCAAAGC